ATACACGTGACAGTGAGCCATTTTAATTAGAGCTAATCTTGGGATACCCCTGTAATTACAATGGTCCCTCACCACCCCTGAACACATGTATAGGCACCCATGGCTTTTACACTGTTATATCCTTCTCCATCCTACTCTTTCTGATCCTTTTACAAGGAACTGTTTTTCATTTCACAAACATACCCAGTTTTTATTAAGAAAATGACAGCATAATAATAAGGCACACCTGCTTAGGGTAGGTACCATGCTGATATGCTCAGGGTGAACACTGATCATCAGCTCTTGCACATCTTGCTATGGCTCATTGCAATAGCAAAAACAGAGCAAGGATCTTGGGATTTGATTCAATGTGATTAAATGCTTCATTTTGCACAGACTTCATCTGGAATGTGTAACATCTTCCCACCTGCCATTAGGACATGTATAGCTTGCACTACGATAGGAGTCATCTCTTTCTTAAGGCCTGTTCCAATATGCAGCATTGTGAAAGTTTAGGCCATTCCAGAATTGGATTTTCACAAGTGTACCGTTGCGTGAGGACCAGGCTTGTATTAAATAACATCCTGAAAATGGAAGACTACAGTGATTATTATGCAAAGTGTCTCATAACACATTCATGCTTGAGGACCAGTCCAGAACACATCCAAATTATCAAGTCTTTCCACTGACTTTAGTGGGCTTGAGATCAGGCCTTGAGACTATTACTGAGGTTATTTCCCAACTGTATGTCAAGGTAAATCAGATCGTGTGCAGCCTGTTGTCGCTTCAGAGGAGCGATCTGTCTAATTTAGAACTGCAGAGTTCCAAGGACTGTTTTACAGTCTGCAACTTGCCAAGTGAGGCTCCCAAAGCAGGGACCTGTACTACCACCCAAGTCCTACTGGGAAAGACATGCTGACGGACTGCATGAGCATATATATGTATATATGAGCACAGCTTCCTAACTTGGATCAAATATGTACCAGGCCAGCAGGACTCTTGGCCCTGTGTAACAAGCAAAATGTTTCTTATTCACTATGGAGGGTGCCTGTGTAACAAGCAAAATGTTTCTTATTCACTTGTCTTAGACATGACAGTCCCTAGACAAAGTGCTGGAAAACCTCCCAAGATCCCTCTAGCTCTGTCTCTCATAAAAATGAATGATAGGTAGAAGGTGGGACTACTTTTTTGGGGGGGGCAGGGGGGCGTGGAATCGCTTTTGGCTGTGTAGGATCTTGTTCTAAGTCAATCGTATGTTTTACAATGTTTTATTGACTGGATTTTACCTGTATTTAGCACTTTCAGGTGCTCAGTGATCACTTGTGCAAGCATAGCGCTGGCTTTTTGGCACTGACATTAATTTCAGCATCCTGCTGTACATAACTACCCTTCTGTAATCCTGTTTTGGGAAATGTCTCCAGCAGCCAGTTAGAGCAGTAGTATTTATTAGAAGTGCTAGCATCTTCCTGAGTAGACTGATGGCAAGCAAATATTGCACTCAACCTAGTCTCTGCTTTCTGCATTGATAGAAATAGCCTCATTGCTACTGGATACTGTCAAGGGCAGCCCAGTTGTACTGTATGTTAAAGTTAAGGTTGATAGGGACTCATAGGCTTGCACCAATTTGTTTTGATAACCTCTGATTTACCACAATGCTCTAGGTACCTAGGAACCCACACTAAGACATTCCAGAGAAGTACAGATGAATAGAGCAGTAATTCTCAACCAGGGTACCATAGCACTTCAGGGTGTCTTGAGATCCTTTCAAGAGTGCCTCAGGGTGTTTTGCAAACACAATTCACCAGATAAACCGAGAGATTTCAAACAAATCCACTGTTGTGGTCTTTTTGAGTGCTTTGCAACAGAAAAACTGCTCTTTTTCTGTAATAAAAAATAGAGTGAAAACTAAGAGCTGGCATTTTCTGGGTGATGCCTCAAGTCTATCAAGGGGACTTTGAGTCTAAAAAGATTGAGAACAGCTGGAACAGAGAAAGGAACAGCACTAGTTTTCAACTCCACTCCGGCGCCTTTAGTCACAAGAGTAAATATTGGCACCATTCATGATTCTCCTTTCACATGAATATTTGATATGCTTGGAGTCAAGGCTTTCGTTGCATTCACTCTATGATGCAGCCTCCTGACCTAAGCCACACTTGTGAACACACTGCTGACTGAGGCCAACTTTGGCCCTTATCTCAAACAGGATGTCATTTAGGTCTTTTCTAAACAGGTGTAAGAGTCCTTATATGTCCAGTGTGGGGGTTATCATAAAACATTAGATAAGCCACCAGGAGACTGAACATAACAGATTTTACACTGAACCTCTGTGAGTCTCTACAGCTGTTCTAATGCTGCTCAATTAAAAAAAATTAAGCTAGTCTTATGGACCCTGAAAAAAATCACTAGAACCAGAGACAAGAATGCGAGTTAAATGTCTTGGAGCATCACCTCCCTTAGGAACTCCTGACTTTCCATCCAGATCTTTGTCCATCTCAGTATTGTTTAAGGACAGATGCAATATAATGTTCCATTCAGATTATTTTAATTCATATTTTATGGATGTTTAATACAAATTATGATATGTATTGATCTAAATGTAAAATAAACTGAAAAGAACAACTAGTTTAAAAGATCATATTTATAATAATACAAAATATAGACTTGTGCTACATGGAAGGGAAATCATTTGCCTCAAGTCCAAAGTATTTTTCATTCCTGACTTTTGTTACTAACCACTTAATTATTGGTGAGAAGTAATTTTCAGCCTTATATTTCTTATGGTCCTTTATTTGTGCTGCTCATTCTTTTTGTTTCACTGTTATTTGGATAAGGAAGTGGAAGTGAACACTCTGGCTTGTGTTTCTAATCATTTTCACTTTCTGGAGTATAAAGTTGTCTACCACACTGCACAATAATTTATGAACACAGTGTAATTGAATTTAAAAAAAATCCTAAGAATACTTACCTTCATTTTAAGCATTGTAAAAAGCACTTTAAGAAATAATCTGAATTTGAAGCCTCCCTATAGCTGACAGCTTTGAATTGCAGATCTCTGCCACCCTGTTCTGTTTCTAGGTTCTCAGACTGCTCATCTCACTTGACCACTGAAATCAAGGTGAGAAAGATTTGGTCCTGCAAAGTGCAGAGTGTATCCTGTGAAGTGATGGTTAACCACTCTCCACTAAAGCCTCAGAGTTCTCTGGAAAAGAAACTTGAAGCATTTCCATTGGTTTTACCATGAATGAAAGAGAGCCTCATGTTCTCCAGTAGATCAAATGACTGATGTGCTGTAAGAACTTGTGCCTTGATCCTCAGCTGGTAGAAACGGATGAAGCTTTACTTTCTACAGTGCAGGACTGTTCATTTACAGCAGGTGATGGACTGGTCCTTAATCTTTAAAATCTTTTCCCCTCTATGTGCTCTCCAAAGATGCAGGTTCTCGTTGTCCTAACTGTTCTCACCATTTCCACTCGCTATGTTGACAAAAGATGGAAGCCTAACTTTCATGACCGTATATTTCAGTGAGTACCAGAACCCATGCCAGGATGACCAAACCACTCCATTATCTTGGGGTCCAGTGTAGTTTCCTCCCTTATAATATTGTCCATTGAGATTTGCTGCATGGCATCTTACATGGATGAAAGATGTGCGGGGAAAAAAAGAGAAACCAAAGTTAAGATGAAAGGCATTGCATCTTTGTATTAAAGTACAGTTCCTATTTGGTATAAATTGAGGCTCGTCACATTACATATATGTAATTTCCCTGATTTCAATGGAGTCGTATTAATTTACACCTGCTGAAGGTCTGTCCTTTAAAGTTTTAATATAAAATGAAGGCCCTAATTTTGCAAAAGTTTCACAGGCAGGACAAAAAACCCATTGCGTTCAGTATGTATTCCATGAACAGAGGCAGGCCAGCCACACACAACTGTTATCAATCATTGCCAATGAATGTAACTAGAAATGTGGTGAGCTGTTCAAAAACTGGTCACTTCACAGTAGAACAATGTCCTTACCATGAGCTCCATCAGAATAACAACCCTTGGTGCACAGGGTATTTCCCTTTATGCTTGCTTTCTGGGAGTCATTGCTGAAACTATAGTGACCTCTGTTTCTGGAATCCTACTGAAAAAAGGATGCTGTTCTCCTTCAAAGAATTGCACATGTACCCATTTCACTGCAGGAATACGTGTGCCTCATGCACTCAAGCTCAGCTGAGAGGAGGTAGAATGTACATACAGACAACATACCTTGAAGCACTTAAAGTTTAAAGCAGGTAAGTTTAAAGCAGCCCAGTCATACTTAGTTCCACATGTACCACTGAGTGTTAGACAAAAATCAAACTTATTTCCATACCTGTTAAACCACCAACCGCAGTTGTTCTCCTTTGCACAGTTGCCTGTTAAGAATCTATCATGATCCTTGTCTGACGTGGTAAACTGCATCCCACTGAGTGATGCAGACCACTGTTCTCTAAAGTTGCTCCCACCAGACAGAGCGTCGCCAGCATTACCAGAATAGGTGCCAAACCACAGCCTGTAATTGTCCTTTCAAAATAAAATGTAAACATGCCTCTGTTATTAGCCTTCTCCTCTCACAGCCTTTAAAAATGCCCATAATTGTTTTCTGCAATGTAGTGTGGGTCAGGGTCATTCCTGGAGTATCTCCACTGACATCAAGCATGATTCTGGCCTTTTGCCTTCAGTGATACTAGCCTTAGACAATGACCACATTTAATTTGTCAAGGGGTAGTGCTAGCTAACACTCGGACTACTAAGGGCTACGTGCCTTATGAGAAGAGGCTGAGGGAACTGGGTTTATTTAGTCTAAAGAAGACAGAGGGGATTTAATAGCAGCCTTCAACTACCTGAAGGTGGGGTTCAACAGAGGATGGAGCTAAACTGTTCTCAGTGGCAGATGACAGAACAAGGAGCAGTAGTCTCAAGTTGCAGCAAAGAAAGTTTAGGTTAGATATTAGAAAGAATTTTCTCAATAGAGGGTAATATAACACTGGAACAGGTTACCCAGAGAGGTGGTGGACTCTCCATCCTTGGAGGTTTTGAAGACCCAGCTAGACAAAGCCTTGGCTGGAATAATCTAGTTGGGGATGGTCCTGCTTTGAGCAGGGCGTTGGACTAGATGACTTCCTGAGGTCCCTTCCAGCTCTAATTTTCTATGATTCTATGTAGTGTTCGCTTTCAACACTTACACAATACAAAATCAACACAGGGCTGTAAGGGGCTTCCTGAGACCCCAAGTCCAGTCCCCTATTACTACTGGAAATCAGGTCACTATCAGGGCCTGACTAAGTTCAATCTTTAAACAGCTACTGGGAGGCTGATCTAGCTCCACAATGCTCTGATGGTTAGAAACCTAATATTTGGCCTAAATTGGCTGATCTGGTGAGAATATTTAGGAGTGAGGCTCCATTGTATACTTCTACCAAGATTTTGGAGGAGTTTGATCATTTGTAAAATTTTAAGTATTTTTCTGTCATAACATTTGTTTCTATCCAAGAAAAATGGCAGTAAGTAATTAAAACAGAGCTGTGTAAAACTTCTGTAACAAAACTTGAGTAGGGATCAAGGGTCCCATAAAGGACTTAGGTGCATACAAATTAGGAACTACAAAGTTTAATGATTACATGACCAAGTACCTGCGTGGAATCCAGAACCCTGTACTAGGTATTCAGATTTTATATACAATGCATAGGGGAGTTATGCTTCTTAGAATGGTGCCCCAAGAAACACGGGGTATGGGTAACCAATAGGAAACCCTAAGTAAAAGGCTGATTCTGAAATCTAACCCTTCTCTGTACCTGCCCACAGACTTGCGTAAGGCTTCTTCATCTACTTGGAAGTCAGAGGTCTCCCCTGAGATTAGATGTCTACAACAATTCTCCCTCTTTGTTTTCAAAGTAAGCAACTACAACTACACTTTGTAAGGAACACAAACTCTTTGTGTGTTTTAGGCATGTTCTGAGAACACTTCCACATCAGAGCCTTCAGGGGACTTGAGGCATCCCTCTGCTAAGTGTGGCTTCCAAACTGGTTTAGGAAGGAAAAAGGTGCTAAGCTCCCCAGACTCTGTTCACAGGCAGAAAACTAGGCATCTAGAGAACTTTTATAAGGAGTCCCCACGTGAGCATCGGCACAACCAGAACTTCATAGCAGCTGAGAGGAGTTTTAAGGACTGTGCTTTTGGATTCTGGTGTTTCAATTCTGCTTAAATACTTTACTGGATCTAGCTATAGGTTCCCCAGAAGTTCCAATGATGTTGGCTGGAAAATGTGGCTGAGTCTTGAGCATAGTGGGTTTCCAACAAAGGTGAATCACGTTTTAAAACTGTTTCCTATTTTAAGTTGAACCACATGAAAATTGCATTTTCATATCGTGACCCCAAATCAGACAGAAAACTTGGCAGATTTGCATACATTTGGTTTTGAGTTTCTGGTCTTATTCATACCTGACACAGGACAAAACTCGGGGGATGTAAACCTGCATGAAAGGGAATATTAAGAAAGGTTCACATGGAAAAAATTTCTCAATCAATTATCCCACCTTCCCCCTACAGACATCTCAAAGCTTTTGAAAAATTTGGCTTCTGTAATGGGACAAACCAAAACTGGGTTTAATTGCAACTAAACTTTTCAAAAGCTTAGATCTAGGATCTTTGTAATTTGGTCCCACCTCAACTCAACTTGAATCCCTGTGAACCAATAATGATGAATTTGGTAGAGCTCCAATTATAACTTGGATTAGTCAGGCTGCAGCAGGGATCGGGGAAATGCCCTAAAAGTCCCTGTTAGGAAAAGTCCTAAAATAAATCCCTGGGTTTTTTTATTCTCACCTGCTCATTCTTGATCTGGAAGTTTTCATAGATAGCATATCGTTTCTCTCCATGCCAGTCCATCAGGTCAATTTTTAACATGTTTTCCTCTAGAATATAAAGCAGTAGCTTGTTACATGTCAAGTCCACAATGAACTGTGCAACGTAACTTTTAAGGAAGTATGCAGCTGGAAAAACTGCTCATACCTCTAACCAACAAGTCATGGATGTGATCATTGCCTAGCCAGTATTCGTCGTTTTTGCTTTGAAATCGTCCAAATCCTAGTTTGTAATCAGCCCACTTCCTGCAGCAAAATAAAATAGCAATTTCTGGACTTTATGTAGAATTCTAAAGGATGGGAGTTGATAGCTGACAAACTCTATCACCTTGTTACTGCAAAATCTCTCAAAAAATAAATCTTAGTCTCTACTTCTAGACCAGGGATGCTCAATCTCCACCCTATGGGCCAGATCCAGCCTGCAATGCCAGGTCATCTGGCCTGCAGGTCTCCCCATGGGTCCAGAAATTTGGCGGCGGGAGAGCAGTAGCAACATTCCCCTGCTGCCAAATCTCCGGACCTATGGAGAGCCCCAAGTCCAGCACTAGATCCCAGTGTGCAGGGCTGGGTGGGGATGGTGCCAGGCCCCAGGGCCCAATCCCTGTGAGCAGGGAGTAGGAGGGGGCAATGACAGGTCACTGGGACTCAATCCCAGCATGCATGGTGTGGGAAGGGGGAACTGCCAGGTCCCCAGGGCCCAACCCCAGCATGCAGACAGGCTCTGGGCCACTTACTGGGCCCGTGGGGCCAAAAGGTTGAGCACCACTACTATAGACAAATTTTTCCCATGCTGTCCTATTTAGAGCATGGAGTTGAGACACACTTATAACAAGAAATATCCATAACTACAGACCACAGTCTACTGCTTTACATGTTACAGGCATGAATATTCACTCTGGCCTCAGTCCTGCAAAAGCTGCCAGATTCAGTGTTTCCAAGATAAGATCAGAAATGGCTGGGCAAGAGGAACACAGTGGACCCCATATTGGTCTTTTTGTAAAACTTCTGACAGTATGCTTCAAAATGTTAATAATAAGAACGTGACTTAACAAATCTTAAGCACCTGACAGACATGGCTGCTATTACAGAATGTCCTAAAGAATTGAACACAGGCTAAAGGATGAAAACAAAAAATAGCCTATCAAGTTGTGGGAAAAGTTTACTGGCCTGTTTTTATACATCTGCATTCTGGTTCAAAACCGTGCTGTTTACTGTCACCCCAATGTATCTTTCAGTGCCGCTGGGTGCCTGCTCAGTCCTTCCTTTCAAGCAGGCAGTTGAATTGTTTTTCATCAGACTAATTAGATCATTTTTTACCAAGATAAATCACATTTTGCTGCTTCCTGCCTATGGTTCTGCTCCCTCTAGGTTCCCTTGTGTTATCTCCAAATTCTCACAGGGAGTATCTGTGAATGCCAATATAGTAGTAGTTGCCAGTTTTATTAAGTTACTGTTTACTCCATCTTCCACATAATTAATGAAGTGCTAATTAAGACTAGTCTAAACACCTTTCTACACCACTTATCAGTAGCTCAAAATCAGCATGTGTTGAACTCTTATGCTAGTGGTACTTAAACTTGTAATAAAAAACTGTCTTTGGTATCTTTATGCTGCACTGCAGACACTTCAGGGTATGTTTACATACTCTGAAAATGATGCATACATTTTTGTGAGGATAATCCTAACTACCTTCCTATGGCTTTCAGCTAGGAAAGGGGCTGTATGGACTATTTTTTTTCAGTATTTTGATTAATGATGGGAAAGAGAAGTAAGCAGTAGGTTATGCCCTAATAGCATTTGTGTTATGAGAAAGAACACTATGTAATGGGTCTCAGCCTATGCATTGCTAGGAGATATTTGATGGTTCAAATATTTGATATTTGAATAATCAAAGAAATTTCAACACATAAGGACAACCCAATGAAAAGGTGTCACAACTCCTTTCTGATTAATTCTTGTGATTGAAAGAAATCACTACAGGGGCTGATCCTACTAATACCTACTCACACAACTTGCCCTGACAAACAGGTCTATCACTAAGATTTGCTTATATGACCATGAGTGTGCAGGACCGGGTCTTAAAATGGTAGCAATTGTGACTATAAGATACTATAACAGGCTGAATAGACTATAGAAGTCACAGTGGCCTCTGAATACTCACATAAATCCCAACTGGGACATTAACTGAACCCCATACCTGTTGAAATTCTCTCTGCCATTACTGCGTCGCTGTATCACAGTCCAGCCACCTCCATCAGACATGTCACAATAAACCAGGAAAGGTTCTTGCTCTGGGCTGGGCCTTATCCGGTAATATCCATTTTCCGTTTTTTTACTATTAAACACTGCAGAGCAATCTAAGCAGGACAACAGTGATTAATAAAATGATGACTGGGGAAGAGTAAATTGGGGGCTGCAGTCAAGAGAAAGCATGAAAAGGAAGTTGTCAAGGGACAATGATTTCTGCCTCCTACACATGAACCCACCCACTCTTGGTTGGACACTGAGCCTGTAGAAGAGTGATAAAGTGTGGTCCTGGCAGTAACAGTTTTTAACATTGCTTGGGTGGTCAGGTGGTATCTACATTAAAACAGCAGAGATTTTAGTGTAGTATGTACTCAGGAGTCTTTAGCTATGTTGTCTTAAGTGTCGTCCACACTGAAGGCAACATTAATTTAGATTAGTTGCCTCCAAATGATGGTAGGAGGCACTTAAAGTACCACTGGTGGAAGAGGCTGCATGCAAATATATAGCTTCCTCGGGCACTTGTACACATGACGCCATTAACATGTACACATGACAAAAATGTCAGTGTGGCTTAATGGTGTCACAATGTACACATGCCGGACTTTTGGGGATGAAGTTTAATTTGCAGCTTTGCAAATTGCAATGATGCAGCTATCAGCTCACACCCAGCCATGGGAGAGGCAGGCAGGCTCCGCAGAAAAAAAGGATCGGGCCCCTCACCACTTTGGAAGTGGCGAGGGGCCCGATCCGTTTTTTTTCTTCCAGCGGAGCCTGCCTGCCTCTCCTGCAGCTGGGGGCGAGCTGCTGGCAGACCAAGTAGCCCTTGAGCTGTGGAGGGGGACCTCAGTCCTGCCCTCCATGGAGGCAGTGCCCCCTGGGGCCACATGGGTGGGCTGCTAGCAGGATGGATGCTGCCCCAGCTCAGGGTCGGGGAAGAAGTCAATTGGGCCAGGTGCTGCCCCTGAGCTGAGATAGCACATGGCCCGCTAGCAGCCTGCCCGGGTGGCTCCGGGTGGGTACCACTGCCACAGAGGGAAGGACTGCCCTCTTCTGCAGCTCAGGAGCCGCTTGGCCTGCCAGCAGCTCACCCCCAGCCGCAGGCAGGCTCTGACTCACACAAAAAGGGAAAAAAAAAGAATCGGGCCCCTTGCTATAATGTGATGAAAAAATTGAAATGGTTTAGTCCTCAGGCTTTTATTCTATGCCCCACTGTTTCAATTTAGGGGACACAGAATAAAACTTTGGGGACTAAGCCCCCATCACATGTACAAGAGCCTCTTGTGGGTAAAACTATTAGGAACTATTGGCAGTGGACCAGATACTTTGAAAGCTTAACTGCCAGTTCTCTCTGAAAGGGCGGGAGGGTGGGAGGGGGCACTGGGAAACCCCAAGCTTTTACCTTCCTTTTACCACAGGAAAGATGCCAGAGAAATTTACAGGGGATCCCAATATAGTTCCAGTCCAGTTCATTTCCAGATAGGGGATAATCTAGACAAGAATCAGGGATGGACTAATCAATTTGGCACGTATTTAAAAAATAAAAAAGAGCTCAAAGTTAGGTTCCTTAATCCTGCTACAGGCTTTTGGATGGGCTGTTTTCAAAAGTGCTGAGCACCCACCAGTTTTCAGTGGCTTTAGCAGGTACTGCAGGAAACTCAGCAGTTTTGAAAATCAGAGGCTACTTCTTCAAGTGCCTAAATCAGGATTTTAAACCATAAACCTCAGCCCAAGCTTGAAGCAATGACATTTGCAAATGACAGTACCATGACATACGACATTTTATTACACAGCCTAAACACTGGCTGGTGTCCATTGTGCTAGGTACTGTACAAACGCAAAGAGAGAGACAATGAATGCTTCAAAAGAGATTACAGTCTAAATAAGCAAGACAGGCAAAGTCAGGAGAGAAAACAAAGTGACAGGTCAGTGTCCTTGGACTGTGGGTCTACTCTTCACCTTCACATCTAGCTAACACATGGTACATATAGTAACCTGACCATTTTAGTAACCTGACCAAGATACAAAACCTCCTGCATTCATTTTATTAAGGGAACAAGATAAAATACAGAATTGTGTTTCTGTTATATACTGGATATTCAACAACCAATAAATATTTTGATATTCTGAAGGTGAGGTTTCTACTTTATTCTACTACAAACACGTACCTTGATCATAGACTATAAGATTTCCACTAGTTGGAGGTAGAAGTACCGCAGGCTGCCTACTCCTGCTGACCGAGAAGACCTTGCTCTTTGTTCTATGATAGTTGTTCTCCAAGAGGTCCTTCAGCTGTAGTTCATATAAGTGAAGCAAGTCTTGGAAGAATTTTAATTTCTGTTTTAACTTATTGTTGTCTAAGAGGCAGATGTCCTTGTCCTAAAGGAAAAACTGAGGCTTAATATAATTAAAGCAATAGAGAGTTTGTAGCTTGCAACATCCAAGCACATATCATTGTTTTGATAAAGCAAGGGGGTTCAAACTTAGGACCTCGAGGTGGGTTATTTAAGCAATAGACTTCTTCATAAATCAAAGTATTGTTCAGGATGAGTATGGGTGATACAATCTGGCTTTTACATTGCTGTCAAATTGGACAATTGATGTTCCAGTAGAAGTGAAAGATAAAAGAACAGGCACCCAGTGTAAATTTGGAGAAACTATTGGAATCAGTGGAGTTGCTCCTGATTTACACTGTCCTAATCAAGAGCAGAATCCAATCCAGATTCACTAGAATAAACATTTTCCATAACAATCACATTTTAGGCACAGCTACATGCTAAAAAATCTCTGCCAAAAAAGTTCTGAGAGATTCTTATTACATGGCTTTTGCTGGCCTGAGGTTACCTTTGAGGAGTGGGCTTGAATGACTCCAAACATTGCAAATTAAATAGAGATTAATTCTCCTCCACCGCCCCGCAAAGCTATATCAAGTCTGTATTTCACTCTAAACCATACATTGATCTAAGCAAGTTAAAAAACATCACCCATGCTCCCACCACGGAAATGCCATCACAGCAACCGCCTACTAACACTGCTGTTGGGAACTAATCTATTTTCTTCCACAGGACTGAGGCACTGTTGAGGACCTAACAAGGGCACTGCATGGGTTGTATGTAACCACAGGAGTTAAGCCTCCAGTGATATCAATACCCTCCAAATTTCTAATCTACTTTCTAATTCTAATCCCTACCCCAAAGTACGTAAATGAATGTATTTTGCCCACCCCTGTTCTAGCAGCACAGCAGCCAGCACTACTCCATATACTAAAAGCTGCCATATTATGCCTCTAGGTATCAAGAACTATAACAGTTAATGCAAATATTTTGGAAAGGATATTAGACCTCATGCTTCAGTGCTTATGCCAGTCTACACATTAGAGAGTAGGATGGGCAGATACTCCGCATCTGCATCTTAGACCTTCCCTCTGAAGCATCCCGTAAAGGCCCCCGTCCAAGACAGGACCCTGGGCCTGAGCCAGCATGGCATTTCCTGGGTTTTTATGTCAAGTCTCATGTCTGCCACTGGAGGAGCCTATGGCCAATGGTGAGAGTGGGACTGGCGCTGCTCCAGGCTTACTGTCTCTTTGGAGAGTCCCAGGCTTGCACATCTTAGCCCCATAGGACAAAAGACAGAAAACAGAGCAGTGTGCTTCCCTTGATGGACTTGGCCTCCAGTAAAACGCAGGACGTTGTTCCAGACCATTTTGTGAGGTAACACTGACTGTTTCATGAAGAAAAGCATTTACTATACAAAAAGGTCAAAGGCAGGGGCAGCTTTTGTGAGATGCTTTCTTGATCCCTTGTGGTATATATTGTGACAGTGCTGTCCACTGACGAGGTATCATTCAAAGAGAGACAAGTGCTGACCAAGGTAAGTCCAGTAAGCCAGATCTGGCCTACAGAGGTGTGTCATCTGGCTCATGGGACTCCCCGTGGGTCTTGAAATTTGGTGACAGGACAAATGACAGCAGTGCTAATTGCACTGGCTCTGGGATCCATAGCAATTAACACTACTGCTGTCCCCCTACCACCAAATTCCTGGACCTGTGGGGAGCCCCACAGGATGGATGACAGTTTGGATTGGGCCTGTGAACCAGCCCATCTAGCCCATGACCCCTAACTACTCATCTGGCCACTGGGCACCACTGGTCTAGGACAGGGAAAGGGCATTGCCTGTAGCAGTTACTACCGTATTCACGCAACCCCCCTCCCCACCCCCCCAAGTAATTAGAGTCTACACATGGAAAATTATAATCTAATTATTGGTGGGTCATCTTGAATTCATATCTTCTCCCCACTGCTGCAATGAGAAAAGCAGTGGCAGAGGGGCAGAAGGGGAGTAAGTGGTGGGGGAGTGTCAAGTAGCTTGACCCTGCCCCTTGCTCCCCCACAACTTGACCCTGCTGCCTGCTCCCACCCCTTCCCATTACTTCTCTTCCCCTATGCCTACAGCCTCTGGCACCTGTCCTCCCCCTGGTGTCTGCCCCTTCTGCACAGCTTCTGCCCCCCCGCCCTGCTGCTTGATCTCCAACTCTAGCAGGGCTCTGGTACTGCTGTAGCTCAGGGCAGAGAGCATGTGGTTGCTTTGGCCCCAGCCCAGTCTGGTAGCAGCAGTGGCTGGGGCAATTCTGCCCCAGGATTCAGGGCCCAGTCAGGGCTGCTACCACTGCAACAGCTCTTACTGGGTTAGGCTGGGGCCAGAGCAACCACATGCTCCTTGTCCCAGGCTACAGCTGTGTGGAAACCTGCTGGAGCAAGAGGGTAAGTGGGGGGAAAGGGGTAGCAGATGTGGCAGGGTGGGGGCAGGAGTGAAGAAGAGACAGCTGGGGTCAGGGAGAGACAATAGTGGGTGAGTAGCAGCTGTGGCTCCAGCCCCAACCTCAGATCTGGGCTGGAGGTGCAGCCACTCCTGCAACTGCAATCACAACAGCCACCTGCCTCCTGGCTGCCTCATACTTGAATCGAAGACAATGGGCTTCCCCTCCATATTAAGTGGGGTGGGGGGGACCCTTATCTTGGATTCCAGTAAATATGGTATTTTGCAAAATAATCAGTAGTCACAATCCCACAGTGATAAATAGGCAATGCAGGTGGAATCATGTTTAGTGCTAGCCTTATACAGCCTTTCTTGGATTTACTGAAAGCTGGTTATAAACATTTAAGCCCCACTTGCAGGCCTGGAAAGAAGCCTTGAGTAAATGTCCAGAGCAAACTATATTGTTAAGATGGTCCACATGTATTTATTACACATTATATAGAGACTACCTGCACAACAGGAGCTCTTCTCTCTCCTTCCTTTCGAGGCAGTTTTTCTTGTTGATTTTTTGTCTCTTCTCTAACCAGCATTGCTATTTAGTATTCCCAAGTCTATTTTTACAGTATTTTCAACCATAGTTGTTCCTGTTCCAACTACTAGCTTAGATTCCAACATATGGGCTGCTTGCAGGCGTTAAAAATAAAAGTGCTTTACTGGAAGAAGCAGCACATTACTTCAACCCAGCTCCATAGTGTCTATATAGATCAGGCATCTGCTTCAGCGGGGCTTTTTGGCACTTTTATCCACAGTTGAGTCAAGAAAGCCCCACTAAAGTGCTTGATCTATACAGGCATTGTGTGAGCTGGGTCCAACTAATGCACTGCCTCTTGTAGGTTTTCAGTCAATCTCTGATTGAATTCCATCAGAAATTCAACAATCACCATCCCTCCATCTGACTTTCTCTAGAATACTCCAGCACCAACATCTCCTTTTTAGACACGATGATCAGTATCTAGAATGATAAAATACAGATCACAGTATACAAGAAACCCACAGACCAACATACATATCTGCACAGAACCAGCAATCACCCTAAACACACCAAAAAAGCTGTGATATACAGCCAAGCCCTCAGATACCACCGCATTTGTACTGAAGAGAACACCCGGGATTGCCACCTCACCAATCTTAAAAAGGCTTTCACCCAACAAGGACACTCCTCCAGAGAGATGGATCATATGTTTGAAAGAGCCACCTGGATACCACATGAAGAACTGCTGCAGTACAGAAGAAAAACCCCCTCAGATAGCACACTGCTGGTGATAATATATCACCCCTCCCTCGAACCCGTACGGAAAATCCTCAAACAACTGCAACCCATACTAGAAAGAGACCCTACTCTTAAAAAGATCTTCCCAGAGCCACCCATCCTAGCCTTCAAACAAGCACCGAACCTCATCAACCTCATCACCAGAAGCAAACTTCCTCAAACCCAGAACACACCAAAAGGATCCAGACCGTGCCATGACAAGAAATGCAAAACCTACCCCCACTATTACTACACCCCACAACAGAGCCATCAGCATCCCAGGATCTTACAGCTGCACCTCAAGGAATGTAGTATAACATTTCTCACAAGAAAACCACTCTCTCTCCAATCTCTCAGTCCTGATCCTCAAAGGAAACTTACAAAACACTTCCCAGAGACGAGCCTATGAGCTCCATTTCATCAACCTCCTGGATACTAGAGATCATGGACTAAATATAGACATTGGATTTATGACACATTATAACCTGCCTGACATCTGACTCCCCAGGTACCTCTCCACTATTCATCCCCCTTCTCTCTTTCACCCCCTGCCTGTCTCACCCATTTACTTCTCCATCTACATTTTCACTGACTGCCTGTCTTGTATGCATACCAGCCCAGCCTCTAGCTTCTTTACTTTTCATTCCATCCAGGAAGAGCACACACCAACTGCTGAAACTTCCTTAGCCTGACGAAGGGTTTTTGAACCCAAAAGCTTGCTTAATAATTGTTTGCCAACTATTTAAGTTGGTCTAATAAAAGGTATCAGATTCACCCAAAGAACCTTGTCTGCCTATGTCCCTAGACCAACATGGCTACAACCTACAACCCTGCCTCTTCTGGGCATGTGTTGTGCTTGGCGCTGGAACGCACTGAGTTTAAAGTAAAGCACCGTTTGTTTTGTGTGTTTTTACATCTGCAAGCAGCCCTTTTATTATTAAGGATGGATTAGAGCAGTTTTTCTAGTTTTTTTGGCTGTGTACCCCTTTACCTGCAAAATACTGCTGCTTTAATGCCTGACACCTGATTTATCTCTGCATGTTCATTCTTTAGGACAGTGGTCACCAAACTGGGGATCCCAATCTACAGGTAGATCCTGGAGCTTCTTTTGGTAAATCCTGGGCTGAAGGGATAGCTGGACATGCGCGCATGTGCACACCCACCACTCCTAGCTCCAGCTGGTCAATCTATGGGGAGGGAAGGGGCGGGGGCCAGATCAAGGCCCCTCTGCAGTGAGTGGCTGACCATGCGGCCCAGCCAGGAGCAGGAAAAGGTAAGTGGGGCCCCAGCCCGGCCAAGTGGTGGGAGGATTGGAGCCCAGGGCGTTTGGGGTGCAGCGAGCAGCCCACAGCACCACACACGTCATCCTGAGCACAGGTGGGAGGGGAGCACAGGCCCCCAGGGCCTTCACTGGGCTGTGCCCAGCAGCAGGAGCACCTCCCACGCGCCCCAGGAATGTGGAGACTTCCAGACCGGGCCGGGGCCCAATGCCAAGTTCCTCTGGCTGCCAAGTGGGTGCAGCTCAGTGCAGCTGCAGCACAGAAGTGGGATTGGGCCCCAGCCCAGCTGGGTCTGGATGAGTGTTGTCACTGACATCAATGCCATTACCCCTCGATGTACTGACCAACTGGAAGCTGTACTGCTATTATTAAAATGTAGGCACATTCCCCTTAGCAAACACCCCCCTGTGGGGACATGTACCCTAGTTTGAAAACCACTGAATTAGAGCAAATATTTTCACTATGGACCAGATGGTCAGAGAGATATAGTGTGTTAAACATTTAGATACTGTCCTTACATTATCATTATAAAATAATTTGTCAGATTTGCCAGAACACATTTCTTGCCTCTGCTCAAGTGAGAACCAGGCCCTCACCTTTCCTTCTGGTGCTTCTGAGACATCCTGGAAGGTGTTGAGGATTCTTTCTCTCACCACCTTCCAGGATCAGAACTGTGAGCTGAAATTCTGACAAGTCTTACTCATACCAACTTGTACAGATGATCAGGTCTGACCCCCTGCCCCGGGCAGGAATGAGTGTGGGGTCATAACACCCCAGCCAAATATCTGTTCAGCATCTTCTTGAAGACCCCCAAGGTAGGAGAGAGCACCACCTCCCTTGGGAGTCCATTCCAGAGCCTGGCAGCCCTAACTGTAAAGTAATGTCTCCTGATGTCCAGCCTGACCCTTCCCTCTAACAATTTGCGGCTGTTATTTCTAGTAACCCCTGGTGGTGCCCAGGGGAAGAGAGCCTCCCTCAACTCTCGCTAGTCCCCCCACTGGTGTGTTTGTAAACGGCTACCAGATCCCCTCTCAGCCTTCTCTTGTGGAGGCTGAATAGATTCAGGCCCTTCAGCCTCTCTTCATAGGGCTTGACCCGCTGCCCCTTGACCATGCGAGTGGCCCTCCTCTGGACCCTCTCAATGCTAGCCACATTCCCTCTTGAAGTGCGGCGCCCAGAACTGGACACAGTACTCCAAGTGTGGCCTGACCAATGCTGCATAGAGGGGAAGGATCTCCTCCCTGGACCTGCTTGTGATGCATCTGTAGATTCACGACAAGGTGCAGTTAGCCTTACTGACCGCTTCCTCGCATTGGCAGCTCATGTTCATCCTGGAGTCAACAATGACTCTAAGATCCCTTTCTGCCACTGTGTTGACAAGAAGGGTGTTCCCCAACCTATAGGCGTGTTGCTGGTTCCTTCTCCCTAGGTGCAGTACCTTGCACTTGTCTGTGTTGAATTCCATCCTATTCTCATCCACCCACCTCTGTAACCTGTCCAGATCTAGCTGGATTCTGTCCCTCCCCTCCAGCGTGCCCACCTCGCCCCACAACTTGGTGTTGTCAGCAAATTTGGACAGCGTGCATTCCACCCCCTTCAGCCTCTCTCTCAGCCCTATTATAAGGGTTCTTTGTGTAATAAGATACTACTCAACCACAAAGGTGTAATGTCAGGAAGAAAGCAGGGGAGGATGGTGCCTTAGAGACTAACTGGCTCAGAGAGGCATGAACTTTCATAGCCAACAACTTACTTTGTCAGATATCATGAATGACCATTCATAGCATCTGATGAAATAGGTTGCTGCCTACAAAAGCTCATGCATCTCTGAACTAGTTAGTCTGTAATGTGCCACCAGCCCTACCTTGTTCCTAACTCAGTCCTATCTGGCCCTAAAGCTAGTGCAAGAAAAGCTTGTATAAGAAAATACACGTAATATGCTAATGGAAAAAGATTTTTATAAAACAACAAAGCAAGTGAGAAGGTTTAATCAAAACAAAAGCATGTACCTGTCTTCACTGTGACAGAAATGAAGTCAGTGAGAGTTAAACGAAATCAGCACCTTGTGTGATTTTTGATAATAGAGTACCCAAAGAGCAATTTTTAAATATAAATTGAAAGCAGAGTGCTGTGGTATCCCATAGTACTTTCAGTTCAACACACCTTTCATCTCAAATAGCTTCTCTGAGGTAGGGGAAATTACTATCCCTGTTTTACTGACAGGGAAACAGAAGCACCAAAAGGTGGAATGATTTGCTCAAGGTCCCAAGAAAGTGTAGGGTTCAGGCAGGCACGTATGAGCACTCTTCCTCTCTGGGTATTTCTATGGAAGGTCAATGTTCAGTACTCTGAGGAGCACGTGAAGATGAATCACTAAATGGGAGCTGCAGGTCTCCCCCATCTCTCATGACTGAGTCCTGTAACACCCATTTGGGAATCTGGTCCCCAAAGCTATTACCCCTTAGGCTTCCAGTCTCCCATTCAGACCAACTTTGGTGGTGATGCATGCAAGAAACTGATTGGTGTGGTACTCAGCACAGTCTACAAATCTTACTGAATAACTTCCCACCCAGCAAACCAGAATGAAACTTAAACTATTATACTAGTCAAAGCCAATATTAACAGGATATGACCATTTACCCCCCTGCATGCTGTGCTATCATTTCCTCCTATCCTATACACCTCTGTCTGATTTGTCTTTCTGAAGAGCCTGTTCCTCAGGCTGGAGGAATTTGTACAGCATTCAGCATGCTTCTAGAAATGATACAGGCTTATTATCTTACAGACAAATGATACATATTTTAGCAAGTGATACTCACTGAAAGTCTAGGTGCAGGTAAACCAAAGCTCACAAGCAGAAGCAGCAGCAGCAGCAACCAGGGCATCACCATGCTCATTTTATATAGCCTGGAGGGAATTATGAATATGCTGGACTATGTGCCACACCAAAACCACAGTCACATTGAAGGTCTTCACAAGCACAGTGGGACTGGTTGAAGAAGTTACCTAAAAGTACAAATAGAACAAAATGAAAGATGCTGACACACTGCTTCAGAGGCAGAGCGTAAAGCTGCCATGTCAGGCCATAAACCCAACCCTGCCCTGGTGGGATGAACTCCTGAGGTGATGTCTCCTGGGCCGCTCTGGTTCACTTGCAGCAATGAGTTCCACAAGTTAACTAAATGGTGTGCAAAAAAAGAACTTATTTTTGTTTGTTATAGCCCTACTACCAAATAATTTCACTGTATGTCCTCCAAGTAGTAATTTTGAAGGGGGGTACCCCCACTGGTTGCTCAGCTAGCACATCAAGCTAAGTAGCTTAGAGTTGAGAACATGGAGATGAATGTCAGTGTCCAGCAAGAATATTCACAAGGTTTTGCTTAACAATGCTTTGTAAAAATAATATAGAAGGCATGCATAAGAAACAACCACCCATTTCACATGTGAAACCACTGCAGAAATTATGCTGTAAGTGGCCTATTTGCATGAGATACTTCTCTATAAGCATCACCTCAATATTAATACCGTATATGACGCTAGCAGAACTTATATTATACACAAGCAAGCCAGGTTCCAAGGAAACTAGGAAGCAGAAATGTCCTATGGAAGAAATTCCACAGTCTTATGCACAAGTGCATGATAGTTTTTAGGCTGTACGGAGGAAGATAGTGCAGCAGAGTTCAGCATTGAGAATACCTGTTCTTGTATCAAGCAACCTTCCCCAGTCCCTATGATTATCTACTATACAGTCCCTCAGCTGTGTATCTTGTGCTACTGACTTCACTGCAGTTACTCCTAGCTTGATCCAAGAAAAGTGAGACCAAAATTAGACTCACTGTTAGATCTGTACCCCTCATTCCTAACATTTTGCAGAGGATTAGAGCAAGCAGTAGAGGAAATGAAAAACCCAGCTTGATCTATCTATGTCTTATCAACATACATTGAAATGCATATACCTTTTGTTTGTCTTCTCTTCAGCTCTTCTCCTAATCGGATGGTCTCCCTTAAAAGTCAACTGAAACTGATAATATACTTGGGTGGTGTTTATAGACAAGGGTTATGTTATTCCTTCCAGATGGCTCACATTAAGGGCATTCATGAAGAGCATTTTATCACCCTAGACAAGTAGACAGTTACATGAAAAATATTCTTGGAATCTCTTGCATGAAACAGCTGTCCAAAATCTTGTCGTTTTCTCTCCATTGTTAATCCTACTCGTTCTGAGAACAAAGAGATTAAGATAGGATCTATAGCAATAATATTCTTAAAACAGAGAGATTCCTTTGCTATAT